CACCCCCATAAAAACACAAAGTGAAATATATTGTTTGAGTACTCATTATAGCATTAAATCTCAATACACAGCACATCAAGGACAGAGATCCTACATGAGGAGTAAGTGCACAGTGACTCCTGTTGTTGACTTTACCAATTGACACTCCTGTCTATGGCTTCAGTATTTCGCTTCCTGCTTCCCATGTGCACTCTGGAAGTAGAGAGCTGGAAGAGAATGTACTGCGTTTGCCATTTAGTGTCATCTGGCCTTGAGAGTAGCATGAACGGTGCTCCAGTGAGTTATCGTGCTGAAGATGGGCCAGATGTGTGATGGTTTTATGGTGGGCCAGGAAGTCTCAAAATAACATGCTCCGATCTATGACTCATCATTCTGAGCCCGTGTATGTGTGTGTGTGTGTGTGTGTTTTATGGGTGTGGGTGTGAGTGTGTGCACCTATGCATGTGTGTCCTCAAGCAATGTTTTCTGCCAATGATGCTTAAAAACATTGACAGTATTTTATCTCAGCTTGATTCTTGTGATTATCAACTGTGCATTTTCCATAAAGATTCAAAAAATAAAAATAAAAAGCAAAGGATCAAAGGGTATGTAACTAATTCAGGACCTGTAGTCAACAAGGAGCACAAGTTGGGAATATTGTTGCAGTAACCCAACTAGAACGCTGGAAAATAAGCATTCAAATAACATATATGTGTCGAGTTACTTGGCCTAGTTAGATAATGAAAAGACAATCCTTTGATGTTTTGTTCCTTCTGCTGTTGTTATGGTTTTACCTGTAGGGAAGAGGTGGCATGATTGTCTATGTTTACTCAAAGTTACTGAAAAAGACTTCATTTTCCAATCTAGAGTGCTAAAGATAAGGGTTATGAAAACATATCTAATAAGGCATTCCAAGGATGAGATGATAGATTCATGTTTGTGTTTCCTGTGCTTTTACTTTAGTGCTGTGATTTTTACCATATTAGGAGAGATCTTTACTTTCAACGTGTTTGATTCACATTTTCATTGCACATCTTCACTTTTTTGAGGGAAAGTTATGGTCAGAGGCATAGAGTAGAGTTCTGGCTTTCACAGAACAGTTATGAGGTCATCCCTCCTTGTGGTGAGGTAGAGAGAAGGGGTCATGAGGGAGCAGGTAGAAGTTGAGGCTTAAATGCTTACTTCAGAAAATAGAGTGAATGAAGGGAGTAGATGTGGAGGAAGATCGAAGGAGCTTTTTTGAGAGAGGCCTGTGGGCCAGATGGGACACTTTCTCCTTTACCCCTTGAAAGTACAGTGGTATGGACTTCAGCATGAAAGGTCAGATGTATTTTTCTCAGAAAATTCAGTGTATTTTATTAGTTTTTAAATGTAAAATAATAGGTTATATAATCATATGCTTCAAAATTCAGAAAGTGTAAACAGTTATACAGTGAAAACTCTTTTGTTTGCCCTGAGCAACCCCACCACTTAATTCTTCTAAGAAATAACAGATGTGATTAATTTCTTAATTAGCTTTCTAGTGATATGTTATGTATTTCTTTTTTTAAAGATTTATTTATTTATTTGAAAGTCAGACTTACACAGAGAGAGGGAGAGGCAGAGAGAGAGAGAGAGAGAGAGAGAGAGAGAGAGAGAGAGAGGGTCTTCCATCCGATGGTTCACTCCCCATTTGGCTGCAACAGCCAGAGCTGCATTGATCTGAAGCCAGGAGCCAGGAGCTTCTTCTGAGTACAGGGGCCCAAGGACTTGGGCCATCCTCTACTGCTTTCCCAGGCTACAGTAAAGAGCGGGGTCGGAAGTAGAGCAGCCGGGACTTGAACCGGTGCCCAAATGAGATGCCAGCACTGCAGGCTGCGGCTTTACCCACTACGCCATAGCACCGGTCCCGATGTCATACATTTCAAAGCAAATGCACAAGTATAAATATTTTTCATCTCTTTTACTTAAATGATACAACGTGTCTACTGCTATGGCTTTTGCTTTTTCACTGAAGATACGGAACTCTGCTTATTCGTACAGAAATGAATATTTGTTCTGTGTTTGTGGTTGCATACTATTCCATTTTGAGGGTGTACTATAAATAATTAGTTGCCTATTGAAAGATATGTAGTTTGCTTCCAATCTTTGGTTTCTATAAAAAATGCAGGAATCTTTTTGCATGGCTGGTCAAAATGTGAAACAGTACAGCTGCTGTGAAAAACAGTTTGGTGGGTAGAATTAAACAGAATTACTATGTGGCCCAGCAATACCCAAAAGGATGGAAAGCTTGGATTTAAATAAATACTTATGTATCTTGTATACCAATGTTCACAGAAGCATTATTCATAATAACTAAAAAGTGGAAACAGCCTAAATATCCATTGACAGAGGAAGGGATCAACAAGATGTGGTAAATACATACAATGGCATGTTATTTGGTGTTAGGAAGGAAGGAAATTGTGATACATGCTACAGTAGGAATAAGCCTTGAAAACCTGCTAAGTGGAAAAGCTGGAAGCAAATGCACAAGTAGTGTATGATACTGTTTGAGGTACATAGGATACGCAAACTCAGAGAGAAAATGAAACCGACTACCAGAGGTGGTGTGTAGGCAGAATTGGGAGAGTTATTGCTTAATGGGTACAGAGATTCTGTTTGAGAAGATGAAAAATTCTGTAAGTGGATAGTGGTGGTAGTCACACAATAATGTGAACATACTTAATGCCATTGAATTGTACAATTAAATGTAATCAAAACGACACATTTTATGTTATATTGATTTTACCAGAATGAAAAAAAATACTCCAAAAATGCAAGAGTCAGCAGCCTTTTATATCCAAAATTTTGCATGACTAGGGTATGTCCTCTTGATAAATTCCTAGGCTGTGTAAATGGGTGTGCATTTGCAATTTTGGTAGTCATTTACCTTTCTATCAACTGTTCATGAAGTTGCTTGTTTTCTTGAATCCTAACCCAATGTATTAAGTTAAAGCTTTTCTCTTTCTGGCAACCTTAATACTCTTTTTAAGAGTAAAAAGAAACTATGGCTATAAATTTCTTGAGGGACTGGAGTTTGGAATCTGTTGATTCTGAGTTTGTGACTAGGGAAGATGAGGCATAGTAGAGCTTTTAACCAATGCTATCATAGAGGCTGCATTTTACTGGTAATGTGAATAACTGAGTGAGATGTTAATGTTCAAGTGACCTCAACTGGAGATGAGTTAAAAAACTGTCTAAATGACATACATATTGTTTCAATCTGTACACTTTGCAGTTTCGGAGAATTCCAACTTTCTTCCTGCTAATTAATTTATCAAATTTTTGATAGTAAATAAAAAATAGTGCTTGTTTTTCAGGAAATTACAGGGAGATGGGTGGGGGGATATCCAAGTTAGCAGGTAGTTGCAATATAGGGCGATAGGAGCAGTAGTGTGAACTGTTAAAAGAAATACAGATTGGGTGAGCCCTTACTCCAGATTTGAGTGGTGGGGGCCAAGGAAAGCTTTCCGGAGAGATCTATCTGAATTGAATCCTTCATAACAAAGGAATTAGACAAATGAAGGGTGGAGGGTATGGAGAGACAGGTAAGTTTAGAATCTGGAAAAGGATAAGATATAGTCATTGTAAGGTGGCAAGGCAAGAGAAAATGTGGAAACTGGAGAGCAGTCCAGGTAGTTCGGATGAGTTGAATCCCAGAATGAGAGAATTCCTCTGTTGGGCACATGGTTTTTTCCCAAGTCCAGACCTTGGAAATGTGTGATTCTCTTGCCTGTGGAGTTTCTTTTGAACCTGTGAATTTTCACTTTCAGCCTTGGGAAAGCCATAATCTCCACAAGGTTACAGATAATTTTTTTATATTTTTGATTTCTTTGAGATCTCGGCTATTTTATGTATAATAAGACAACCTTTCCTTTCTGTGCTTTCTTCTGATTCCTTCGATTTTCTCCTTAACTTGCATCTTCTTATTCTTTTTTCTTTAAAAAAAAATTATTTTGTTTATTTGAAAGAGTTAGAGAGAGAGAGAGAGAGACCTTGGCTGCAATGGCCAAGGCTGGGCCAGGCTGAAGACAGGAGCCAGGAGATTCATTTGAGTCTCCTATGTGGGTACAGGGGCCCAAACAGTTGGGCCATCTTCTGCTGCTTTCCCAGGCCATTAGCAGGGAGCTGGATCAGAAGTGGAGCAGCTGGGACTCAAACCAGCATCTGTATGGGATACCAGCATTGCAGGCAGTGGCCTAACCTGCTATGCCACAACTCAGATCCCTCTTATTCCTTTTTAAAGCCCCCTTGCCTCAAATTCCCTACCAAGCCTTTCTCCCTGCCCTCCCCCTAACCTATAAGTCATTTGTTTCTTCTCTATCTTCTAAGGATTGATTTTGTGCTGAATATTGGAGAAAATGTGCTGAGGACACGAGGATGAAAGAGATCAGTTCCTACCCTCAGGTTAATATTCTCTTAGTATTTTATTATGCCTCCGTTATAGTACTTATCACAGCCTGCCTTATATTACAGGACATAATTAATCTGAGGGCACTTTAATTCCTATGTGAAACCCTCAGCCACAGCGTACTGCCTAGGACTCACACATTGTGTTGAACCATTTCAGTAAAAGAGAGGGAAAGGGGCCATTCTTTGGTGTTCACTCTGCTGCCCTGCATTTGGATAAGTGCTTTTTTGGGGGGGGGAAGAAGGGCAAGGATAAGTGTTTTATAGCTAGTATCTCATTTTTTTCCTCAAAACCCTATGGAGCAGCAATGATTAGTTTTCACATTTCACAGTCAGGAAAATGAGGAACAGAATACTAGTTTGCCCAGGGTCATACTGCTAAGTGGCAGAACCAGGACATGAACCCATAGACTTGTTCCAGGCCCCTTACTTTTAGTTACCAAACAAGAATGATTTTCTCTGTCATCATTCCAGTCTGCAGTTTACACAAACAACAACACAATTTCAGTCTATGTGTACAGTGGCTTATAAACTCATCTTATCCCACAGGTTCAGTGGCCTGTGTTTGTGTGTTCTACTAAATGTGAGTCCACAGCTATGTTATAGCACCCAGCTCATCAACCTCACACTAATGGCAGTATGTCTATAACTCTAGCTTTATATGAAGGTTGTAGGTAGATGTCTGTATTTGTGTGAACCTTTAAATGCTATGTGGTGATGATAATGAAGCTGATTTATGCTGCTTACCAGATGAGTCCCTAAGGCTGCTTAGAAACTGTGACATAAGATCAAAGGCAACTTGCAGAGAGCTATGATGTCACAATTGATCTTCAGGGCTTAGCTTTTTAAACTGGTGTGGTTTGGACCAGGACTTCACCAACTTGTTCCTGAAGTGCCCCCACAGTAGTGGACAGTGAAGCCTACATGCTTGCAGTCTGGTGATGATTGAAGCACACCATTCCTTTGACTTCTCCAGGTTTTGTCTTAAAATTAGATGATTATTTTAATAATATAATAACTGTAATGTAATATTAATCTAATAATAATCAAATAATCTGTCCATTATTATTTTAAAATGACGAGGATTTCAGTTATTTATGTTCAAATGAAATGGGCCTTGTGGGAAGCGTGACATTTTCTGGAAGCCTGAGAACTCGTTGGCATGCCATCTCATCATACTTCCCTTCACAGAGCACTGGTTAAACAAAGCTGGTGTGGTTTAGAACATCTGAGATGTGGTCACTTAAAACAGTCAGTGTAATGCCAAGTGAGGAATGAGAGGACCCACAAGGCAGTCTTTGCCAATCCCAGGTCTAGTGTTGACTACTCTTTATAACAACTGGTTTCAGTCATGGTCATCTGATTTCTGTGTTGAGATAGATATGAGCTCTGCTACAAGTAATGTGGGTCCACAGTGATGTTACTAATGTAGTCAGCAGTATCTCCCTGCCCCTTGGAATTCTAAGTTAATGTGACTCAGATCTAAATCTACGATGTTCCCCATAATTTCTGTACATTGCTGAGGGTTGGTTTTATTACTGCTTCCTCTGTTGGATTGTTTTTGGTCTGTAAATGTTTTGCTTTGTTCTCTTTAGTCTGGATGCAAAAATCAGTGCCTCTGCTCCTTTAGCCTCCCAAGTCCAGTTAACTAAGCATTTGATGAGTTTGTAACTTGATTCCATATTTGACAACTTCAGTCTATGATTTCACTAGCTGTTTGCACTTTTCTCCCTCTCCTGACCTTCTTTTCTTCTATTCCTTCCCTCTTAATAGCAAACAAATTCCTCTCCCTGCCTCATGCTTTGTAGTTTCATCCTCTCCCCGAATCCTTGGCCTCAAGTGACATTCCTGCCCTGCAAGACTCACCTACCCCAAGAGAACCTGCTAAAGCATTTTCCCAACAAAGGTAATTCTCTCACTAAGAATAACTCTCATACCAGCTGCTAGGAGAGTAAAATGTTCTCCATCTAACCCCTCCTCCTAATAATAAAGCAACAAAGGTTGAGAGTGATTTATTTTCTTTTAAAAAATAAATTAGTACAGACTCAAGGTTATCTTGGTAATAATAGCACTGTCTCTCTCCCTTGCATTCCAATATGCTGTCTTGAATGGGAGTGAAATGCATGAAGTTACAGCTCACACAAAGGGAATTGAGCATAGGGGTGCTATCTGTGTGTTGCAGGGGACAAAAGAGCTCTTCTACTTTGCCTGATTCCTGGCGAGTAGTTATCTAGCATCTGCTGCTACATCCTTAAAGTCAATTTTACAACCTCTTAGGCCAGCACATCTTGCTTTGGGCAACACTGACAATTTAAAAAATTCTTTTTTTTTTTTTTTTTTTGACAGCCAGAGTGGACAGTGAGAGAGAGAGACAGAGAGAAAGGTCTTCCTTTTGCCGTTGGTTCACCCTCCAATGGCCGCTGCGGCCGGCGCGCTGTGGCCAGCGCACCACGCTGATCCGATGGCAGGAGCCAGGTACTTATCCTGGTCTCCCATGGGGTGCAGGGCCCAAGGACTTGGGCCATCCTCCACTGCATTCCCTGGCCACAGCAGAGAGCTGGCCTGGAAGAGGGGCAACCGGGACAGAATCCGGCACCCCGACCGGGACTAGAACCCGGGGTGCCGGCGCCGCTAGGCGAAGGATTAGCCTAGTGAGCTGCGGCGCTGGCTTAGAAAATTATTCTTTGTGTTGAGCTGCTATCAGCCTTCCTGAGCTCCCATCCTTGTATTCTAACTCTATTTGCATAAATTCAGACCCAACTAATTTTGAGCTATGTTAGTCTAGCGCTGTATACTAGCCATCCTAGAATTTGTATTTGATAAACAATTTTCTCACTCAAAATGTCCTGGCGGCTGCTCATTTTCCAATGTATTGGTCAGCTTTTCATTACTTTAACTGAAATACCTGAGAGGAGCTTCTTGGGAAAGAAAAGGTTTTTTTCAGCTTACATTTTGGAGGTTACAGTTTAGGATGAGGTGGCCCCATAGTCCTTCGTGGAGGCTGGTCATGGCAGGTGCAGAGGAATACTCACATGGTGAGTCATGAATGGGGGAGAGGGAAAGGGAGAGGGAGAGGGGGAGGGGGAGGGGGAGGGGGAGGGAGAGAGGTGGAACTCGAACTCAAATAATAATCAACTGTTTCACAAGAACCACCCTCCGAGGGCATGCTTCCAATGACCTAAACACTTCCCACCAGATCCACCTCTCAGATGCCACAATTAGATCAAGTCTGAACCCATAATCAGAGTTTAAATATCTATGTGAGTTGTGGGAAGACAAGTCCTACTCAGCTATAACACCCAGAGAGTAAAATCTTACCTCCTTAGTGGAATAATGTCCTTGTTAAGTTCTTTCCAACATCCCTTTCCATCTTACCCTCCTGTTTACCCATGCCTTTCATCTCTTCTTTGAGTTGTCCTTCATTACACAAATATGCATTTCATTTTTTCTTTTGTTTTTGATTCCTCCCCCATTGTAAGCAGCTTTCTGACCTGTCCATCTCCACTGATCAACATCTTATTTATTTTACAATGATGTCTTCAGCTTGAAGCCTTTCTTGATGTTTCTTGTTAAATGAGTTGCTTCTATTTCTAGGATTTTTTTTAGTCACTTTATACATGTGTTGTCCAATACAAAAGCCACTAGCCACATATGTTGTTGAGCAATTGAAATGTGACTGATCCAAACTGGGATGTTCTATAAGTACACTCTATATGCATAGTTTGTATGCATAAATTACATACTGTTTTCAGACATACTATAAATAAATGGAATGTAAATATCTCACTAGTAGTTTTTAACACTGATTTTATGGTGAATGACAATATTTTGGTTATACTGGTTTATAGAAAACTAATTTTACATTCTTTCTTTAAAAAAGATTTATTTATTTGAAAGTCAGTTACAGAGAGAGAGAGAGAGGGAGAGAGAGAGAGATCTGTCTGCTGGTTCACTCCGCAAGTGGCCGCAATAGCTGGAGCTGAGCAAGGCCAAAGCCAGGAGCCAGGAGTTTCATCCAGGTCTCCCACACAGGTGGCAGGGGCCCAAGTACTTGGGTCATTTTTCTCTACTTTTCCCAGGCCTTTAGAAGCAAGCTGGATCAGAAGTGGAACAGCTGAGACTTGAACCAGAGATATGGGATGCTGACACTGTAGGCAGCAACTTTACCTTCTATGCCACAATGCTAGCCTCAACATTCTTTTTTTTTTTTTTTAAGATTCATTTATTTATTTGAAAGTTAGAGTTACACAGAGAGAGAAGCAGAGGGAGAGAGAGAGAGAGGTCTTCCATCTGGTGGTTCACTCCCCAGTTGGCTGCAATGGCTGGAGCTGCGCCGATCTGAAGCCAGAAGCCAGGAGCCAGGAGCCTCTTCCCGGTCTCCCACGTGGGTGCAGGGGCCCAAGGACTTGGGCTATCTTCTACTGCTTTCACAGGCCACAGCAGAGAGCCGGATTGGAAGTGGAGCAGCCAGGTCTCAGACCGGTGCCCATATGGGAGACTGGCACTGCAGGCGATGGCTTTACCTGCTATGCCACAGTGCAGGCCCCTTGCTCCAACATTCTTAAACATTTTTTGCAGTATGGCTACTAGAAAATTTAAAATTACAGATGTGGTTCATATTTTTGACTTATGCTTAGAAAAAAATACTTTTGTCCATGTATATTTACTTATTTGAGAGGGAGAGAGGAAGGAAGGAGGAAAGGGGAAAGAAAGAGAGAGAAAGAGGGAAAGAAAGAAGACGGATAAATACACAGCTCCTGTCTGCTGGTTCACTTCCCAAATGCCACAATGTCCAAAACTGAGCCAATCTGAAGCCAGGAGCCTAGAACTCAGTCCAGTTCTTCCAAGTGGGTGACAGAGATCCAACTACCTGCTGCTTGCCAGCAGGAAGTTGGACTTGGGAGTGGAAGCAGGACTGGAATCCAGTCACTCAGATATGGGATGAGAATCACCCAACAGGGACTTGACCACTAGGTCAGATGCCTGCCCTTACATTTTAATTCTACTGGATAATCCTGCTTTAAAACATTATGTGGTCAATGCCACATTGAATTATCACTTTGAATTATCACTCTTGTGTGCATTTTAGTTTCTTCTCTTGGAACTTAAATTCCCTGAAGTCAGGAACTTATAACCTGCTATTGTTCACTACTCTAAAAATCAGTTAATTATGCAGTCTTTGCTAATGAAAGAAAATAAATGTTTTATCAAAGTCAGAAATCCAAACTCACACAGAAACCAGCTACCATAATGTTATGAAGTGAGCTGGTTTTAACAGAAGTCTTGGCTCACTTTGCTAATCCTCTGCCTGCAGTGCTGGCATCCCATATGGGCGCCAGCTTCTAGTCCTGGTTGCTCCTCTTCCAGTCCAGCTCTCTGCTGTGGCCCAGGAAGGCAGTGGAGGATGGCCCAAGTGCTTGGGTGCCTGCACCCGCGTGGGAGACCAGGAAGAAGCACCTGGCTCCTGGCTTCGGATCAGCACATGCAGGCTGTGGCAGCCATTTTGGGGGTGAACCAATGGAAGGAAGACTTTTCTCTCTGTCTCTCTCACTGTCTATATCTGTCAAAAAAAAAAAAAAAAAAAAAAAAAGAAAAAACCCGGAAGTCTTCATGTCAGGGATATGACAGAGGTTAGAGGTAGGTTGGCAAGAACTGAAGATTCACTGCCATGGGTAGGGGGCAACCACTATACCGTATCAGCTGAATTATTATTTTTTTTTTCAGCTGAATTATTAGAACACAGGGATGCAGGGCCAGAGTGTCCAGTTTTTTTTTTTTTAAGAGAAACTGGATTTTAGACTTTTATGTGAATTTAACTGATTTTTATATGTTGGCTGAATTATAAAAATTTTGTGTGGGCCAGATCAAATAGGTCAGGGACTTGGCTACAGCCTGAAGTTGCCAGTTTGTGCTTCTTATCTAATGGGTAAAATGAAATTTACCTGTAATTCCATATCAGAGAACAGTGTGAAATGATGAGATTTATTACTGTGGCTTTGGTTAAGAAGAAGCTAGAATATCAGAGCCTGATTTTGCAGATTATTCAGCAAACTGTTGACAGATAGTATTACCAAATGTTTCCAAATATTTAAAATTAAAGACTATTGCCCTCTACAATATTTTTTAAAAAAATAGACCCTTAAGGAAAACAAGGAGGAGAGGCATGTGGGGTCTACAAAATCAGTTTATTGACAAGAGTGTGAAACTGTCAACTTAATGCAATGGGGAGTAAAATGTCTTTCATGCTGTCTTTTAAAATTTTTTTTCTTCTCATTTTCTTCTATAAATGCTTATAGTTCAGGAAATGGTCACAGAAACTATTACTTTCTTAGTTTTCTTAGTTCTTGTGATTTGTGTGTTTATAGAGGAAATACTGTAGTTAACTACTTTAGCATTCATGAAATGACAAGGTTAGAATGGGCTGAATGTTGATTAGAATAATGTTATTTAAAATGTCAAGGTGTTACTACCTTAGTAGATTAGCAATACTCCTGTTTTGGTCTCTGTTTCTTTGAAGACCAAAATCAATAGACCAAGTAATACAAAAAGAACTCTGGCTTAGAATTGTATTGCATATTGAACAGATTTTTATTAGTATTTTTTGTCATTTTATAAAGCTCAGTAATCTGTAGTCATAACAATATGAGAATTAGCTTACCAAAGAGGTAATTTTTCTGTTGAGTGGGAAAGTAAGTGGAGATAAATAAAAAATGCCTTCAACTTTAATTTGTTATTTTGCTTGTAAATTTGGCAACTGAAATTAAAGATTCTATTTACAATGTTGTCTTTGACAGCCATCTAGCATGTACAAATAAGTGTATAAGAATTTGAAAACATCTAAAGCAAGTAAGAAGAAAGAGCATGTTGTAAGATGAAGAAAGATAATATAGTGTTCCCTTCACTCAGGCAAATTATACTGTATATTAATAGCTAAAAATAGTTGGTACAGACATCTAAAATATATTCATATTGTCAGTAAACTCTCACTTATTTGAAAATATATTCTGACTTGTGGTTAGCCTTTGAATAAGTCCCCAAATCTTTCTGTTACTAAGTTTTCCCATTTCCAAAGTAGTTGCAATAATGCTATTTATGTCTTAAGCGTAATAATATGTTGGCACAGGAAATGATGATATTTCTGGTAAAGTGCTCTGAGATATGGGGAGATGGATGCGGTTATTTCCATGGTATGTCAGTATAGCAAACATTTTGTCAGAACAGCCTGGGTTGCTTTATAGCATCTTATTAGTTACCATAACATAGAGCAGCCACTAAATTATATTATTTAGCTACATGACAATAATTACATAAATTTAGATGATCATATATCAACTATATATTTGCATAAATGATAATAATAATAATGGAGGTCTCAATGTGAAAAACAGACTTTTAAATAACAAAAAATGTTATTTTCCATATAACTGTCTAGTCCTACTCCAAATAAATTTTATCTTTTTACATTTGGAGTGGTGGAGGAGTAAACTTTTATTTTTTGTTTAACCCTCAGGAGTTTTCAATTGGAAAGGGCCCCTATAAAAAAAGGACAGATTAACCAGAAAAAAGCAAACAACGAGTTTATAAACATGTAAGCCTGTATTATATCAGTCAGCTTTTCATTACTGTAACCAGAAACCTAAGACAAGTTACTTATGAAGGAAGGAGGTTTATGATGTCTCACAGCTGTGGAGGTCCACAGTCTAAGACTGGGCATGTCCCATTGGCTCATGAATTTGTGAGAGGAACCAATGGTGGAGGAAGTAGTACATGGTGAGCCAGGAAGCACAAAGACAGGAAGCATACACTTGTCAGCTATGTCTATGTATTTGTCTTTGTAAACTCACCGTGATTGGATCATGGGGGCAACTTGAATCCAATCTATTCACCTAAAGGCCCCATCTTCAGGTAATGTAACTGAATTGTTTCCGCCCATAATCCATTAACATTAACATAATTTTTGGGGGACCAAGCCTTTTAAAATGTGGACATTTGGGAGGTGCCCAAGCCATTATTCAAATCATAACATTTATATTTTATATGGGAGATACCTAGGAAGTAATTCTCAAAGAGGTGGTTTGAATGCCAGTTTATATAGTATCTTTTCAAATAATAATAAATTTTAACAAGAATGCCAAGACAAAAGAAAAGGACTTTGCATGTCTAGGACATGGCCCCAAATTATAAAAAGGCAAATAATTGGCAGAAAAGGCTAGTTAGTGAAGCTTGTAAATCCTCTCGTACCATCTTTAGTCAGATAAGTGATACTTTTTGTCTGTGTAAATTATGTTCTGCTTTCAGGCAATGAGAGGGAGATGAGAGAGCTTTCCTGAATCTGCTTCTTCTTAACGGTCTTAACTCAAAATAATCCTTATGTCAAAACAGATTGTTTTGGGGAGGGGTATTTTATTTTAAATTTGTAATTTATTTTATTTATTTGAAAGGCAGAGAGACAGTCAGAGATCTCTTCCATCTGATGATTCATCCCTCAAATGCCTGCAACAACCAGGATGGGCCATGCCAAAGCCAGGAGCCAGGAACTCCATCCATTTAGGACTCCTACAGGATTTAAGGGACTCAAGTCTTCAAGTCATCACCTGCTGCCACTCTAGGTGTATAGTAGGGGAAAGCTGGAGTGGAGCCAGAACTTGAACTTAGGTACTCTGATAAATGATGCAGATATCCTAACCCTGATCTTAACCAGTGTACCAACTGCCCATGCCTAGAAGCATATTTTTGAGGGGCTATGTTCTGGTCTCTCACATAATCACAATAGAGGTGAAATTTCATATTATCTTTTGTCACAACACTATTTCCCCATTTTCTGTATAGTTTTTAAAACTGTTATCAGTTAGTGATGCAATATGTCATCATATGGCAGTTTTGTGATATTCTATTAAATACAGCTGTCATAGTTTACATAGCTATTTTTTATATTGCTGGTAATCTGGCTTTATCAACTCTATTTTAAAAAAAAACATTTATTTTATTTATTTTAAAGTCAGAATTAGAGAGGGAGAGATAGAGAAAGAGAGAGAGATCTTCCATTCACCGATTCACTCTCCAAATGGCTGCAATGGACAGGACTGAGCCAGGCTGAAGCCAGGAGCCAGGAGCTTCTTTCGGTCTCCCACATGGGTTTGGGGGCCCAGACATTTGGGCCATCTTCTGCTGCTTTTCCGGGTGCATTAGGGGGAGCTGGATCAGAAGTGGAGCAGCCAGAACAAACTGGTGCCCATATGGGAAGCTGGCGTTGCAGGTAGAGGCTTTACTAGCTATACCACAACACAGGCCCCTTTATCAACTCTTTAAAGGTAGGTATTTCAGAAGGAATAATGACAAGGGATGGAAATATATTGCTGATGGGGAAAGCCTGCAGTCTCTAAGTCTGGTCTCTGGTACATCAGAATACAGACTTGGGTAATGTCAGCATGTGGATGGTCGTTCAAGACATGGAGATCTGATGAGATGAGCTGGGGTTCATATGCACAGTTCTTGAGAGTGAAGATAGGATTCTAAATAACAACCATACTTAAGGACAAACAAGAACCAAATACAAAAGAGGTTAAGAAGTAAGGCTTAGAACAAAACCAGAATGTCATAGAAACCAAGAGATTGAAGCTTGCCTTAGTCTTAAGACTTACGCAGGAGCAGGGCTAACTCTGAAATCTAGTTCCCTTTGTTTCTACTCCAGGTACAATTCTACCACCTGTGGGTAAGGCGTAACTGTTTCCTCTAATAGTATATCTGCTGCCTGGTTCTCATCAAGGACAGAATCTCCAGCTCCATGGGTCTGTGTTGATTCTTTTAAATTGTGTTGGTCTTTCAATTTGAGCACATAAACAAACAAAATCTAAGAACATATAGCTTGGCATAAAAAATTGCTTTGTGTATTTCCACTGGTGTCTTATAGCTGCAGTTGGCAACATCTGGTTAAAGGACACCAGAGGTTCAGTTTCAGTAGAACTGAGGTGGAGTTCAGGGGTTTTTGTTGTTAATGATCTTCCCAGGTGCTTCTGATAAACACTCAAGTTTGAGAACTCTTGATTTATTTATCAGGAAAATATTAAATCTTTATAGAAAATTTTGGAATGGGATATCTAGATGTTTGCTATACTACAAATAAATAGATAAGGCATAGTTCCAGTTTCCGTGACAATTTGGTACAGAACATATATTTTTGTGGCATTTTAACTCTGTTTAGAATATTAGGTAGGATATAAGGAAATTAAAATTAATATGACATGAATAAACAATATTTTTGTTTGAAAGGCAGAATGAGAGAGAGAGAGAGAGAGAAAGATCATCTATTCGCTGGTTCACTCTCCCATTGACTGCAACGACCAGGGATGGGTCAGGATGAAGCCAGGAACCTGAAACTCCATCTGTATCTCCCACGTGGATGGTAGGGGCCCAACCACTTAGGCCATCATCCACTGCTTTCCCAGGCACATTAGTAGGGAGCTGGAGGGAAGTGGAGCAGCCAGGACACGAATCAATTACTCATATGGGATGCTGGAGTTGCCAATGGAAACTTAACCTGCTCTGCCAGGTTAACAATTACTAACAATTGAATATGCTCATAATTTTCACAGGGAATAAAATCTCTAGATAGGGATATGTGAAAAGGAACATACTTCAAGGATAATCATGGTTAGTGGAAAAGAGAGAGTGATATCAGGGGAGCCTTCCTCCCAGACTACCTTGCTTGTACTTACTACTTCATTTGTTGAGTCTCTTGAAAGCAACTATGTGTTGCAATAGAAAGCGCCTTGGCCTTGACATGAGATTCCTTGTTTTAAAGGCCTGCTTTGCCCCTCTCCAGCTAAGTAATCCTCAGAAAGTTCCTTAACCTTTCTGAACCTGGAATTCCTATTTGTGAAACAATAATAATGCCAGCATGAGAAATGTTTTGGTAATCTGAGCATGAAATAATATTATTCATATTATGAAACTATGAAAGGAACAATTTCTGGTATGTTTATTTTTCAACAAACACCTGTAAATATGAGTGTTTAAAATGTTCCAGAATGATTTATTTATCTCTATAACATTTTGGTGTGGTGTGTATTTAACTTGGTGTTTTATAGCAGCAGTTTCCAGAATTTGGTTCAGAGACATCAGAGCTTCTGTCTGGTTAGTAGATATGCAATGGGACCTCTTTAATCTTCTTATGAAAAACGAACATTTTGCATTCTTATTTAATATTACACTAAATTTATAGATAAATTTAAATTCATTACTAAAGACTCAGGATGATCTTTAGAATATGCATTACAATTGTACTTTCTATTCTTTACTCCACTAAAAATTGTTGGAATTTTAATTTTACTTTTTTTTTACAAGAATTCTTGACTTTTAAAGACTATAAATAATTATTTCCCTTTATATTTATTTCTTACTTTTAGCTGAGCTAAAAGTATGATTTTTTAATCGCCAATTTATTTATATTTTAAAGATTTATTTATTTATTTGAAAGGCTTAATTACAAACAGAGAGAGGGAGAGACAGAGAGAAAGGTCTTGCATCTGCTAGTGCACTCCCCAAATGGCCACAATGGTGGAGCTGGGCCAATCCAAAGCCAGGAGCTAGGAGATTCTTCTGGGTCTCCCACGTAGGTACAAGGGCTCAAGGACTTGGGCCATCTTCCACTGCTTTCCCAGGCTATTAGCAGGGAGCTGGATCAGAAGTGGAGTAGCTGGGACTTGTACAGGCACCAAGTTCCCTTCCTTTTCCTGAGTGATCTCCTTAATTTTGCCATGATTAGCAGACTTTACCAGACAAATTTTCATTTCCTCTGTTATACAGGTAACAAGGTGTGCCATCCTAGCTCTGTCAGCCTGGTCCTCATGATCCCAACAGGGTTCCTGATCCGGAACTGCTTCTATTTTCCCACCTGGTATACTAAATGTTAGGAGTGAATGCTGACAAAGTTGTTGGCACACTCTCAGGCTTTCTTAAGGATACAATCATTTTTTTAAAAATCAGAAATACAACAATTAAAGTTAGTTGAATTAGTTAAAACAACAATATTCCACTAATCTAGTGAGAGTTAAGCTTAGTTTGATAGACTCATTCCTAAACCCTTCTAGGTCCTCAGAAAACTTGCCAAGCTTTTCTTAACATAGTCCTAAGACAGTTACCATCTGAGCATTTGTTTCAGTGTCATCCACTGCTAGAGGGGTTTTCCTGCCCTGTGTCCTGCAAATCCTTGTCTTTTCTAAGGGGAAATAATCTTCATTTGCAGGTCCCACTGCAGTCACCAGGAATGTTACCAATCACAGATTCTTCACTTGCAAATAGAAATTGACAAGAGGCCAACAAGCAATCTAGACAAGGTTTACTGGAGCCTTAGGCTGGAATATAAGGGAAGCAACTGGAAAGAGGTTCTGTCAACTGGATCTTTAATGGGAGCTGAACAGCTGCTTTTATTGTGTGGGAGAGGCATGGTGGTTCCCACTTAGCACGACAATTCAGCTTACACCCAGCTCGGTGTTCTGCATAGATACTCTTTTTCCCACTCAACACACTTAAAATAGTGATGTTGCTTGTAACACCACTGCAGTAAAGTCATATAGGGCTGTTCTCGGCATGTGTGCAGGTTAAGGAAGTCACTAACCAGGCAGTATGAGGTCTTTTGTGGTTGGGTTCTGGACACTCCTTGCTCCTGATTGGTTTGGAGCTGGAGATGGGTACCTAGTTAAGTCAGAAGATGGACATATGCCAGATTGAAAGGGAATTGATTGAGCCCTGTTGCTGTCATGTCTCAAATCTTGGTTTACTTGAGCCATCACTGCTACTTCCCAAGATTTACATTAGCAGGAAGCTGGGGTCAGATGCTGGAGCCAAGTATTGAACCAGGTACTACAGTGCAGGGTGCAGGCACCTTAGCTGACATCTTAACCACCAGACTAAATACCTGCCCCATATTATCACTCTTTTTTTTTTTTTTTTTTTTTGACAGGCAGAGTGGACAGTGAGAGAGAGAGAGAGAGACAGAGAGAAAGGTCTTCCTTTACTGTTGGTTCACTCTCCAATGGCCACTGCGGCAGGCGCACCGCGCTGATCTGAAGCCAGGAGCCAGGTGCTTCTCCTGGTCTCCCATGCGGGTGCAAGGCCCAAGCACTTGGGCCATCCTCCACTGCACTCCTGGGCCACAGCAGAGAGATGGCCTGTAAGAGGGGCAACCGGAACAGAATCCGGCGCCCCGACCGGGACTAGAACCTGGTGTGCCGGCAGCGCAGGCAGAGGATTAGCCTATTGAGCCGCGGCGCCGACCATATTGTCACTCTTGATATCCTTTGAGTGCTTATCATTCTTAATACATAGGAACATTATTGGTGTACTCTTCTGTCCTGCTCCCTTCTCCCTACACTGGAATGTAAGCACCATGAGATCAGAGACTTGTTTATTGTCGTATCCCCAGTGCACATAACAAGGCTTGGTACTCCAAAAATACTTGTTGAATGAATATGAATATGATTTTTTAAAGTAAGAAAGCATACTTTTTATCAGTGTATTTGGCTAGGAAATACAGTGTGAAAGGGCCTGCAGTGTATTTTACATTTAATCCAAATGGATTGCCTGATTTTGGACCAGATTCTTTTTTCCTGATGACCTGAACATCTTCCTCCTAGTTTTAAGAGCCTTACTATCTGCTCAGGATTGCTAGAATTCTGATGTTCATGTTCATAGAAAAGTCAGCAGGAAGACCTCCTGGTAGAATTCATTATCAATGGGGCCTTGGCCTTCAAGTATGTAGCCCAAGAAGTATCAGTTGGTTAGCAAACTGAAAACTGACCCATAATTCAGGAACAGGCATCAAACAAGTGGTAACATTGAATACCAATTTGTTGAATTCTGATGAGATAGAAGTAGATTCCATAAGCCCATCCTTTCTATATGCTCTTTAGCAGTTTGATTTCCCCCATTATAGCAGTTTTCACATACTGTATTCTAATCATTTGTTTACTTGTTTGTGTCTCAGGCTACATACAAGCTTTTGGAGGGCAGGGACCAGGCCTATCTTGGTCAGCATAGAATATCCACAGCCTAGTAAGTGCCTTGCATTCAATGAAGCATCAGATAAAGAACTGAAGGAATTAAGAGATTAGAAATGGAACTGGGATGAACACAGGATAGATGTTCCCTTGTGATCAGTATTGGTTATTCTGTGTGATATGTTCTCAAATATATATATATATATATATATATATATATATATATATATACTGCTATAGTTTTTGTAGGATGTAGCTTCTAAACTCGTGCAAATGTTTATACCTCAAAGTCCTACATTAATAGGAGGGCAGAAACTTAAACCAATCATGGCATAGGTAGGCCAAGTAAGAAGTTCTTAGGACTGTGCCTTTAGAAGGTGGTTCTTGGGAAAGAGCTGGTTATAAAAGCCTGAATTGAGCCTAGATTCCTGCTTCCTGGCTCACTGTATGATGGTTCCCCAATACACTATCATATTCTCTGGCTTCATCATGGGACCTACCTGATTTTGTATTGTCAACCTGATTGTGAGCCAGAATCAACTGTCTTCCTTCACAAGTAGCTTGTCTTAGGTACTTTGTTGTAGCAATGAAAAATTGACTAGTACATATACATGTGTATATATACATATATATGAGTGTGCACATAGATGTGTCTATATGGATATATATGTGAACAAATATATATACACATACACATATATATTAAAATAATATATGTTAGCTATGAAAAAAATGATAGATGCATTGTTTGAAAATTGTGAAGGCAAAAAGCATAGGAAAGTATAAATTAAAAATAAAATTACCCCGGGGCCGGTGCTGTGGTACAGTGGGTTAATGCCCTGGCCTGAAGCACTGGCATCCCATATGGGCGCTGGTTTGAGACCCGGCTGCTCCACTTCCTGTCCAGCTCTCTGCTATGACCTGCAAACACGTGGGATACTGGGAAGAAGCTCCTGGCTCCTGGCTTTGGATTGGCACAGCTCCAGCAGTTGTGGCCATCTGGGGAGTGAACCATTGAATGGAAGACCTCTCTCTCTCTTTCTCTCTCTCTCTCTCTCTGCCTCTCCTCTCTGTGTAACTCTGACTTTCAAGTAAATAAATAAATAAATAAATATATCTTTTAAAAAAAAGACTGCTCTCTCTCTCTCTGTCTCCACCTCTCTCTGTAACTCTGCCTTTCAAATAAATAAATAAATAAATCTTTAAAAAAATAATAAAATTACCCCTAGCATCATTCATTTTCATTAGGTGCAATCCCAATTCCCAGAAATAACCACTTTTAATGGTAGGGTATATTGTGTTAGATACTGTCTATGCATTTAGAAATGCATTTACTGTATCTATACTTTTTTTCTAATATGGAAACACTATCATACAACTTCCTTATTTTGACATAATATAATATTATTTTATGGCCAGTTTTCTGTAATGGAATATGTAGATTTACCTTTGTATGAACATGACATTCATTTATTCAAATGTAGGTATTAACTGTATTTGAAGATATGGACAAAACTTTGGAATTGCTTTAGTGGAAAAGATTAGAAGAGTTTGGAGGGGCAGACCTGGAGGAAATCTAGAATTCTGTCAGCAGAGCATTACAAGAAATTCTGATGATGGCCTAGAATACCAAAATGCAGGTAGAAATGTGGTCAGTAAAGGCGAGGTTGATGAAGCCTAAGCAGAGTCTAAGGCAGGGCTACTGCAGAGAGCCACCACTGGACAAGGACAAGTGGAAATGTGAGGTCAGAGCTACTGCAGAGAAACTCCTTCAGGCAATGCCTAGTGGAGCTGAAGCGACAAGACTCCAACCTGTGACCAGCAAAGCTATAGGGGCGTGATTGCCCCTGCCACAGTATACTCAGGATATCAGACATGGTGCTTTAGGATTTAACATTTGAACACTATATCCCTAAAAGCTGTACATATGAAAATTTGTATTCATTAAATAAAAACCTTCAAAAAATAAAGTCCATAATGGACAAAAAAAGATTTAATATTTGTCTTTATGGTCTTTGGTCTTGCTTTGGCCTGATTAATACTTTTTTTTAAAAGATTTTATTTTATTATTTATTTGAAAGTCAGAGTTACACACAGAGAGAAGGAGAGGCAGAGAGAGAGAGAGAGAGAGAGAGAGAGCGAGGTCTTCCATCTGCTGGTGCACTCCCCAGTTGGCTGTAATGGCTGGAGCTGCACTGATCCGAAGCCAGGAGCCAGGAGTTTCTTCCAGGTCTCCCACGCGGGTACAGGGGCCCAAGGACTTGGGCCATCTTCTACTGCTTTCCCAGGCCATAGCAGAGAGCTGGATCAGAAGAGGAGCAGCCAGGTCTTGAACCGGTGTCCATATAGGATGCCGGTGCTTCAGGCCAAGGCATTTACCCATTGCTTCACAGCGCTGGCCCCAGAAATTTATATTTACTAAATAAAAGTTTTGTATAAAAAAAGAGAAAGTCCTTGGAGAGTTTCAAGCAGAGATGAGATAAAACTTAGGTTAGAATAGAATCAGTGCCTAATGTATTGAAAATAGACCAGAAGGCAAGGGCGGGTGCAAGAAGACCAGACTGCATTGCAGTCATGCAGGAGAGAAAAAGGATAATGATATGAACCAGGACGGTTGCACCAGAATGCTGGGAGCTGCTTGGGTTTTTGAATATATTTGAATATAGAACCAATAAGATTTGCTAACAGATCAGATACATATTTTCAGACAGGGAGAAGGCCAAGAATGTCTTCAAGGCTTTTGTCCTGAGCAACTGAAAGGGTAGGGTGAATGAGAAAAAGAAAGACTTTTAGGGTAGACAAAGAGTGACTCAGTTCTGTGACTTAATGGCTTTTTGTGACTTGACTCATGGTCAAGTAACTTTACTTTTCTGAAGGTTTGCAAACTGGGGACTTATAGGTTTCAATATCTGTAGGAATTACTATAATGTTCCTGGAGTATAGTAAATGAGACAGATCCTAATCCCTTTTTCCAGTCTTTTTTTAGTGAAGGAGGGAAGGAAGAAGAGAGAGAACATGTGTGTAAGTGATGGCCTTATCTTAGATGTCTGTCGATATTATCCTGCTTTTTTGACTCTGTTGTTTAAATATTTTTTAAACATTTTTGGATTATTTATTTACTTATTTGAGAGGCAGAGAGCTGCCATCCACT